AAAAAAAAAAAAAAAAAAAAAAAAAAAGAAAGGGTACATGTTGTATTCGAACACAACGCGCACGTGTTCTATTCAAACTGCTCTTCTATTTGAGAAAAGGGGACCCACACCGTTTCGATTTCGGAATGTTCAAAACTCGTGGACCGGCCTCCTCGGCCTCCTGTGGGCAGCTACTGGTCCTTCGCATGCCCCGCCCCTTGCTAAGCCCCAAAACCTCAAAATGCCCACCCTCCGTACGACCACCGACATTGAAATTTCAATGACGTTGAAATGTCTCAGGGGGGGAAAACACAACCCTGACGGGCTGCGAACACACAGAGGCCTTTAAAGCAGTTGGACTTTATGGAGCGCCCAAGTTATTGGGCAGGCTTGGGCGGCTGGGCGGTTCTCTCTGGCCGTCTGTCCCCTGCAAGGGTCTGACAGCTGACCCACCAGTTCCCTGCGGGGTTTTCATTTTTTATTTTATTTTTTTTAATCCAAAAAAAAAAGGCAGTGCGGGGAGGTCCCTGACTGCGGGGGCGAGGCCCCCATGCCACCAAAACGGGGTTAACGCCGCTCTAAGGTTAGAGCGGGGAACCCCCGTTCTACCCCTGCCCAGACACTCAGATAAAGGTAGGGGGAGGAAGAGGGCGATCAGGACTTGTGAGGGGCAAGGGGAGAGAGAGTCAGGAAAGCTCATGTTGACTTACCTGTTGTCGCTTATGATACTGTGGCAGCAGTTTGCACTTGAGGACGGAGGTGGCAGGCACCAACCTCCATAGCTGAGCTTTGTTGCTGGAGGTTGGGCGCCTGGGCAGACAGCTGCAAGAGGACTTCACCAGTGTCAGGGGGGATGAGCATGTGGCACGCCGAGTTGTGGACAGAGGGACCTGGAAGAGTTGTAGACAGGGCGACCATGAGCGTGTGGCAACCCGATTCAATTGCAATCCTTGGTTATTAATGAATGGGATGATAGAGCTGATTCAATTGTAATCATTGATTGTTAATGACCTATCTTCCTTCTCTCTCTACTGCTTCTCTACTTTAGTCTCACTTCTGGTTTCCTGCTGCTGAGTTTGGGACTGCATAGAGTGCTTGATGACTGGTTCTCTACTGTGTGATGACCCGACCAAACATGGACTGGAACACACGGCTGATTTCTGAGTTTCTCTCATGGACTGAATGCCTTGCTGAGCTTCCCGCTTGCTACTAAGTCTGTGTGTGTGCACGCTTGCTGGACTGCATGTCTGTCTGAGTGCTGGTTGGCTTGAGTGTGTGTGTGGCCCGTAAGGGCACTTGTTCGTTCCTTAGGCCCTCAGGGCCGGTACTTACCGTGGCCGTGGCATTGAGGATTGCAGCGGGGGAAAACACTCAAGTGGCGGGGAAATATGCCCGCAGCACTTGAAGCAGCGGGGAAACACTCAAGTAGCAGGTAGGCCGTTTCCACACCCTGAAGTGGTATATGTGCCGGGTACTGGAGGCCGAGCAGAAGAAGACAAAAGTGGCACTTTTAGAGGCCCAGTAGTTGTAGGCTAGGTCTAGGCGGGCACCAGTCTGAGTCTAGGACCTGTATGGGCAATATCAGAGTCTGCAATGATGTTTCCCTCCGAAAGGGAGGAGGTACCGGTTGCTTGGGAGGCCGAGCGGCCTGGAAGTCACCACCCGAGAGGCAAGCAGGCCGCTATATCTCCAGGCCGGGCGAAGAGCCCAGCCTCATTGTCGGTGTGCAAGTTTGGCGACACACTGGTTGGAGCGCTGGCTGGAGCAGCGCTAGCCTGGAGCAGCGCTGCTGGGGAAGAAGCAAGGACTTGGAGGAGGAAGGAGGAGAGGAAGGGGGAGGAGCGCCAGAGGTACTTACCTGGCTATGGTGCCAGCCATCTTCATCACCTTGGTGGGCGCTGCAGCAGGGAGACCCCAGCTGGGGAGAGCTACACCAAGAAGCTTCGAGGCAGAGTCAGGCATGGCGGCCTGAGCTAGAGCAGCCATAGCTGCTTTGCGTTGTCCTTTGCACAGCAGGGCAAGGCCCAAGTAGTCCGCCACAGCCTCGGCCTATGAGAGTGAAGAGTGAGGGAGGCGGCCATGGCTATGGTGGACCTCAAGTGATACCAGAAGTAGAAGAGGGATTCGGACATTGATTCTGGTTCAGCCATTCAACATTGTATTATTATTTCATGTATGAATAAGAGAGGAGGAGATAAGGAGGAAGAGAGTGTTGGGCGAAGAAGAAGAGCTTTGTCATCTGTCTATGCTGGTGTACATCATCTTCTTCGTCTTTCTTACTCCTTCTTCTTCTTCTAACCTTCTCTCTCCTCTTGAGTTCATTCATTTCTTTCTGCAATTGGACGGCATTGTACTATCTGATGAATGTGTATCTCGAAATTGGTCATAACAACTGTGATTGATGTAACATTGAGTCACTTTGAGTGTATTGAGACTATTTGCATGTTCCTGTTGCTGAAGCTTGTCATGATTGCTGGGTTCTTTACAGTTGTGTCAGAATCTGGCTCGACCTACAAACACTGGAGCAAGATCTGTGAACCCTGTTTCTCATTCGTTCCACTGTGTTCCTGATGGTGCTCAGGTGATAGAAGAACTGGAGGAGAAGCTGGCAGATCTGCAGCACTCACTAGTGTGCAGTATGTCAGAGTCTGAGCTACATGCCAATTTGTCCAAGCTTGAGCCAACATACATTTCCACTGAGTGGAGCATTATCCCAAGATTGCCATCTGCGACGATGCAGAGTGGAGACAAGGAACCCCAGTCGGTGTTGGGAGCAAATTCTGACGCTTCTTGCTGTGGAGGACTGTCTAAGAGCACACTACTAGCTGGATGGGGTACCAGGGACCCAACTGCCACTGAACTCCTTGCGCAGCTGGCAGCTAAATCCCAGGAGATTTACTTATTGGAAGATCAGTGTGATCAGCTGCGCCAGAAGGTGGTTTCACTTCAATATCCCTCCTTACTACTCCTGTTCTGCCTACCCGGTTCCCAGTCATTGCTGTCACAGTGACAACTGTGTGATTCATGGATCGTGAGCTTGAATGGTGGAATATTCAGAAATAATAATGTGGAGAGGAGTTCTTGTTCTGTTTTTTTTTGTTTTTTTTTTTGATTTTGAAGCAGGTCCTTATGGCCCTGGCTCCATATCCATTCTGGGGAGCGTCAGTCCAGTAACTCCGGTTCCTATTCCCCCGGCAAGTCAACGAAAATAAGAAAAATATATCATTTTCACACTCACGCCTCCTTCCATTTGGCCGAAGGAAGTTACAGGAGGATTGACTATCAGCTTGCCCTTCTCATGTATTCCTCTCAGGTTCTGTCTGTGGACCTGTTGGCTTTTGGCTATTTCCATCTAGAATCATTGAGGGCATCTTTGCTACCCATCCTGCAACCATCCTTGAGTTTTGGGCCTTCTCATGTACTCCTCTCAGGTTCTGTCTGTGGACCTGTTGGCGTTTGGCTATTTCCATCTAGAATCAGAGAGGGCATCTTTGCTACCCATCCTGCAACCATCCTTGAGTTTGTATAGTCATCCTGTTGCGTCTTTATTGACTGCTGTGGTACTCCATCTGGCATCACAACCTCCCTGGACACTCCTTGTTGGGGACTCCTTTCACACCTTCATCTTTGCAACCGTCTTTCATGGCTGGACTTCTGAGGCCCCTCATTCTGCGGTTGATGCTTGTGTGTCTGGATTGCTAAAGGCAGCCAATGTCGCTGTTGCCTATCTACGGTGGTTCCTGTTGTTTCAGGCCTCCATGAAGTTAAGTCGGATCCCATTTTTTCCACAGGAGCTTATCCCTTTCCATCATAACGATCTTGCCGTTCAAATTTCAAAAGCCATTCTTTCCAGAAGGTATTCCTTCTGAAACTTGTCATAGCAAAGCCCGGGGGCCTAGCGTTCCTGGCAGTCCACCACTTGTCTGATACCTGTCTCCACCATCTGGATCAGGAGGCTCCATGACTGTTCCTTATAGTATATTTCTGATTCTTCGAAGATTGCCGCACATCTCTGTTTCCAGATAATCCATAATGTGACCTTGCATGGCAGTAGGAACCAGGTTTGCGGGGGGGGCACTTTTAGATGGGTGGGATCTGAGTGGCCAAGCGTATGTGTATCAGAGTGGTAGGTGGTGTGGTATGGTGAATAGGAAAACCAGAGTTTGGTTACTCTCGACCACAACCATAAGGCGGCTGGACACTTTATCAGACAATGGTTCTTTTTCGGCGTTCTGTGTTTGAATTCTGCATATTGGGGAACTGTTCGGATCAGTACTCTTTGTGCGAGCATGGATTAACAGGCGGCGCTGCATAGGCTATCAGGCATTGCATGCTGCAAATTTTTGTCCGTTTTATCTTTTTGTATTCCTTCCAGCCTTCCAGGGGATTTCTATGTGTTCGCTAGGGGTTCCTTGCAGTTTTTTCAGCCATCTCTTGTGTATAGTCAGTTTTGGGTCCCCGGTTCTTAGGCCAATGCTATACCTAAATTTGACCGAGTACTTAGAGATTTGGCATTTCACATTGGAAGATGGGTGCCTCCAGTTCCACTCTACCAGGTCATATTCCAGCTCCCTGATGGACCTCTGTGGTTCGAAGTTCTTCTATTTTTCGGATTGTAGCACTCCTTTCTCAGATTAAACACCTCCACGATCCTGGTTTCCATGTTAGTTCTGCTGATTTCCCAGATGTGGTGTGTGCCGTGAGGGACTGGGTATGGAATGAATTTCGCTTTGTTGTTGTCTTTCCCCATTCTTTTAATGAATCAGTAGGACTTAGCCAATCTTGCTCTTGTACTGATATACCCCAGTCCCTAGGTTTCCATGTGAAGTCTTCCTTCAGCAAATGGACCCGTAAGAGGGGTATACTTCTAAGGATAAGATCTAGGTTCGTGGAGAGCTGGTGACAACCATTGAGAATTCTCCTTAGCCTTTTGACGGATTTCCATGTCCATCTTCTTTCATCCCATAGGCGCTCTATGTTCTATAGTCCTTTCTCTACCCACGACAGCCATTTGCCATTTTTGGCAAGTGACGACCACAGGAGACCTTCCTCGTGTTGCAACCATTCATTGCAGAATACAAGCTGTCATAGCACTTCCTCTTTGATGTGAGGGGGGGTGTACCTTGGATGGGCACAGTGATCTCCAAGAGTGTAGGAACGACACCCAGTAAGGTTTGAGGGGGAGGGGTTTGGTCTCATGGTGGAGGTATTGGCGGATGCCCTGCTAGCAGAGCTTGTTCAAATTTTGAGGGGGAAAAAAGGCAAATTGCCCCATGTGACCTGGACCTTCAAGGTTTCGAACAGTTTTTTTTTTGTTTTTTTTTTTAATGCCTTCCTGCCTGGTTTCCGAGTGAGTGCATCTGAGGCTTAATCGATCCTCTTGCTCCTCACCATCACTGCAATGCATTGTTGGGTGGTAAGGATAGATAGCATGTTAAAGTGTGCACTGCAAGATGAGCAGAATGGGCGAATGGACATGATGGTGATTGCTGCTGGTGTCTTGACTATTTTGGTAGATCCTGGGCTAGACTGGAATGACTTTCGGGCTGCACAGGTTCACGACCATTTTTCAGCCACACAGGCTCACACATATGGCCATAGAATTGGCCGAGATCATTCCAGCTGCTGGCATTAGTTGGTAGACAAGGTTTTACCGCTACCAGAGTGACCTGGAAGAAATTCATTCCGGTTACATCCGGTATCAGCTCATGTCCAGGCGGACCAGTGTGGAAGTGAATCTCCAGCTGAGCATGCACACAGACAGAAAATCAATCCGTGATAAGGGGTGTGCGTGTCTGATTTACTGGCCCACGCCAGCAGCCGTGCTGAACTTCTGGCCATGTGCATGCATTGTACAACAAGAAGGGAATTCCAGCCTGGGTCCTTGCAAGAGAGGCTGCAAAGGGCGTACTAGACGTCCACTAAAATTTTATCTTTTCTCCTGCCTTGTCTTCTCACTCCCTCTTCTTCTGTGACCCCAGTCTCCACCCCCACCTTTCTGCATCCCATTCTACATGGCACTCATAAACACACAATATAACAATGTACGCTTCAAAAAGTGCACACACATATATTATTGTTTACAATGTTTGGAGGAAACTGTGGACATTATCCTAATCCTCACATAGATCACATGTATTATAATTTATAATTGGAGTTCCCGGAATAAACCTTTGGGCCTTTGGCCAGACTTCTTTTTTTTTTTAGGGGTAGGGCCCCCCCCCGTTTTTGTTTTTTGTTTTTTTTTTTGTTTGTTTGTTTGAAAGGGCAATTGGCGCAAGGACATACAACTAACGATTATGCTAGCAGCCGGTTTTATCTATGTCTGTGTCAAGTTCCTAGTACTGCATTCCTTCAATGTGTGTTGTGTCCTTTTGGTTGGAGGGGTGAGGTTGGACGGACTTCCAAGGGAAGAGGGCTTTGACATATGCTTGAGAGCCAAATGAACCAATTGGCTTTCTCTTGAAATGGAAATAGATGGTGTACTTAGTACTTACCTATCATCAGCATCTGTTCTGCGAAATAACTTCATACATACCAGATTTTGACGGTTAGGTAAACAAGAGTGGTCCAAAGGCAAACAAACAGTGCAGCAAACAAGAAGCCTAGAAACCTAGACTGATAGCAGCAAGGTTGTGTCGATATGTCTGTAACAGGTCTCTTCACTTGAGGAGGATCTCTGTGAAATGGAGCATCAAAGGGATATGATTGCCACAGAGCAGGGGAGAGCAAAGCAAGAGGTATGCCTGCTGTCCAATTCATGCCCGATGACTGACTACTTAATGCACCTCCCCCTTACCCCCACCATGCTGGAACATGTCGTGACTCCCCACAAGTGCCTGTGTTCCCTCATCTGTCCCATAACATTCCATCCTCAGCATCCTGTGCCAGCTCCCTCTTTCCTTGCCTATTCCCCTCTGCCATTTTGTCCCTGTCAACTGGTGTGGAGTGGCCACCTTACTCTTCTCCCTCCAATCGGCCGGGCATTACATGTAACATGCCCTTCATCCACAATCCTTCCTCAACCCCCCCCCCCCCCCCCCCCCCCCCCCGCCCCTTCATTTTCTATCTGATTGCCTATTCATGTCCTTCCACACAAGCTTGACTCATGGGAATCAAACTCATGACCTTCTGCTTGCAAAGCGAAGACAGAACCAAACAGGCCATGTGGGTTAAGGTCTAGACACTGAACCAAACGGCTGAGTGGGTTGAGGTGAAAGTGAAATCCTCCTATGTGTTTCATCTGCCCATCTATCTGAATCTCCATCTATCCATCTGTCCACCCACTGTCCAGACTCGCATCCATGTTCTCACCCACTCTCCCCCTCCTCCTCCTCCTCCACCTATTCATCATACTTCCCGTATTCTCCACACACATTTCTCCCTTGGATTCTCATTGTTGCCATTGTGTTTTCCCTCATTATCAGGATCTGGCAAATGCTCATGTTGTCACGTATTCACAATCCCACTTAACAGCCTTACCCAGCCACCCACCCGTCTAACTATACACACATATTTTACAAACCTCCCTACCCACCTCTATTCAACCTCGCTACACGCTTCACACTTACCTCTCTGCCTACCTTCCTATGGTTCTATCTCTATGGTTGAAAATTTCTGTCTGTTTTTGCTTTGTCCATGAGATCTTTCTATCTGTTTTTTTTTTTTTTTTTATCTATTCGTTAATCCACATGCCTTCTTGCTTGTATGCCTGGCCACATGCCTTCCTGCCTCTGCTCCACCTGCTCACCCTCACGTGCTTTCCTACCTGCCTGTGCACACACCGACCCACTTCCCACTAGCCCGCCCATCCACCATCCCTCCTTCGTCCCTTCCTCGCTAATTCCCTCGCTCCCTACTCCCCCCTTCTTCTCTCCCTCCTTTCCTCACTCCCTCCCACGCCTTCTTCCCCCTCTCCTCCCTCCCTCCCTCCCTCCCTTTCCCATTCATCCCTCTTGCTTCTCTGCTTCCTCCCTTCCTGGTAGTACCACAGCCAAAAATCAAGTGAAAGAATGTTGACGATAAGCTTCCGGATACTGGAATTGAAAACTGGTCAATCACAGGCAGATCAGGCTGTGCAAAATTTGAAAGAGGAGCTCACCATTGCATACCAGCAAGAGATTGACTTGATTCAAGAAGAAATGGAGAATGTGTACAAGAAGCAGAAGGAGGCAATGGCTCTGGTAGAATCTGAAAGGAAAAGACTATTGGAGAAAGAGAAAGAGGACAAGGATATGGTTGTTACAGCATTGAGGCAAGAACTTGAGGCAGCAAGGAAGGAGATTTTAGAGCATCAGGGATTGCGAAAGTACAAAGAGACTCTCTTCAAGCTACAAAAGGTAAGTCGAGGAATGGTCAATCTGACAGTCCAACTTTTGCCTTCCCATTGCGAATTTCACAGCTAAACCTTTCTTTCAGCTTCTTGATCGTCTTTGCTCCTTTTTTAATGTGAAAAAAAAAAAAAAAAAAAAAAAAGAGAACCTTACGGTTCTGGCTCCTTGTCCATTCTGGGGAGTGTCAGTCCGGTTCCTATTCCACCGGCAAGTCAATGAGAATACAGTGAATATGCACTCCAACGCTTCTCTCCATTATGGTTGAGAGATCCAAGAGGGGATTGACTACTTCCTTTGGAAGCATGTACCACCCATCACCCCTGCCTAAGTTAACCTGATGCTCTAGTCTCTGACCCTGTTCTAACCTGAGCATTATTGAGGCTTACACTTCCCTTGCAAGACCTGTCCCTCTAGCTTTCCGCTACTTTATCAGGCTGTGCCCAGAAAACGAACTTGTGGTGTTTCCTGTCTGTGTTCAGGAATCACTGGCTACTCCCCAAAGCTTGGCATATCTGCAATGACTTGCTGGTTTGGTTGCCTGTAGCCTCTCTTGTCGAGGCTGTACTATAGGCAGGCTAGATTCGTAATTTTGTTTGGCTGAGGGCTAACCGAGAGACCTACCTGTAGGGAAAATTCTTGAGGGACATATCTGTAAAATTCGGGAAAATACAGGCCCGTACTAACTGCAATCACCTACAGCTACCCTAGCTGTGAATAGCAGACCCGGGCTACCCCTAGGACAGACAGGCCCTATGGGTCTAAGCTGATAGACGGTCCTATAGCCTATAGCCGGGTAGGGAGAGGCCCTAGAGGCCGAAACTGAAACGGTACCGGTCGGTCCAGTCAGTCCGGTCTAGGTCGTGTCTAGGCTAGTGTAGGTTATAGAGAGGATGAGGACATCGATTCGGGGCTTTTGGCAGTTGGTACCGTGTACGTCGCGGCTGTGCAACGCGTGAACTGGAAGTGGTGACAGCTTCAGCGTTGTAGAAGACGGAAATAGCCAGACCAGCAGAGTGTCGGCCATAGCTGGGACCGGCAGTGTACTCTGACAGCACGCGGGGCTGTCCAGAGGTCTGGGCTATCAGAAGTCTGTTGGAGGCGAGAGAAGTTGGTGCCCTGTTGGACCCTCAGGAGTAGGTTGTCAGAGGGAGTGGCGCTGCAGCCATAGCTGCAGCTTGTCTTCCTCAAAGAGCATCTGTGTCAGGAGAGGTGGCGCTGCCACAGGCTTCCACCAGGGAAGTCATTCGGCACTTCAACATCATTAGATACTGTGGCGCTGGTCTTCTTCTTCATCCTCGGAGAGGCACTTGGCCTTAGAGGCCTGTTTCAGGGTGGTGCTTTCCTCAGGAGGCTGTATCTGGGTGGCGCTTGATGTTTCGGGACTCAGGGGTAGTATTGGCAGTTACTCAGGGTTGGGGAGTGAAGCGCTGCTCATTTCTGAGCAGCGCACCATAGTTCTGGGGTTTTCTTGACAATTTGAGACTCTGAGTTTAATAAACATTGTGTATATTGTGTGCAGACTATCTTTGCTTCATTGTTTCTCGAATGTGATCTACTCGGCTTTCCTTTGTGACTGGTTGTGAGGATTCTGTGGACTGAAGTGCACTTTCAGTGTTCTCTGTCATATCGCATGGTCAAGTCTTCCGCTGTGTTTATCTCTCCCTGTGCGGTGTGATACTCCCATCCTCTCCCCTTCCTTCTGTGTATGTATGGGCATACTTGGAAGTCTATGTGAGCGAGTGTTAGTCATCTGACAACAAACAACCAGGTTCATAACAGTTGGTATCGGAGCGATTGGATCCAGACAGTGCAGCGATTCATGAGTTGGAGCAACTACCACTATCTGGCGAGACACTGAAGTTGAATTTCATGGCGAATTGTCATCTTCAAGGTTGGCGACAGTGAGGGTGGTGGTGGTGAGTGTGTGGCGAGAAGTATTGGACAGAGCGTGACACACTCCTGTTTAGGGTTGTGCAGGAGTGAGTGGCGATTGAGGCTCAGAGGCCTGGGAGGCTTTGAGGAGGCTATTTTTAGCCTAGTGATTCATTTGGGCATTGACGATTGGCAGGGAAGTGATCCCAGGAGGTTGCGATTTTGGAATTGGGTCAGGATTCCCAATTTCCAAGCAGCGCAGTGCAGGTTGGAGCAGTGTTGTACTGAGTTTCTCAGTTATCAGCATTTGGGAGTCCGAATTCAGTGAATCTGTCAGTTGAGGGTGAAGCGCCTCAGGAAGAACTACTGGATCACCAAGTTTCAGGAAGTTTGGTGCGTGGGAACACTGGGAATCATCAGGAGGTGAAACTGGCAAGATGGGGTTGAACAGACAGCCATAGCCAAGGTTTCATTCATCTTCTTTAGAGATATTCCTAAAGTAAGTGTGTTCCTTACTCTACTTTGTGTGGCAATTCTGGGGGTTATTTTTAGAATAGCGAAATATGGTCTGTCAGTCAGTTGACGGTTGAAAATCGAAATTCAGATTGTGGGACAGCCATAGCCAATTTCCCCTACCTATCTTCTTTGACTTCTACTAACCCTGTTTGACCTCCTTCCTAACTCAAATTTCATCTGTGACTGTTTTACAGTGTTGCGATTCATCCTGTACAGTGAATTGGATGGTTTAGGGTCTTGTTGTCAGTAATAATGATAATTTGAATTTTGCGATGCCATAGCTGAAGCTTGGTTAGACTAGGGTCAGTCATAACTTCAGTTTTGTCCATCATAATTCAATTTTGTCAGTCCCTAGTAAATCGCAATTCAGTATTCAGCTTGTGTCTGAATTGCACAGTCAGATTTGATGTTTTGAGTCAGTTACAGTGATAACTGTAATTCGCCATACCTAGGGTATGGCATACAGGGTCATCCAGTGGTGAAGTCAGTAGGGTAAGTCAAAAAATAGGTTACCCAGTAAATCGCTGCATCTTGGTCATCAGTAGATCCCTGTATATCCCTAATTAGTCACTCTGTCTAATTACTAATCAATACTAATCAGTCCAGGACTGCATCCTGCAAGGAATTGATATAGGATTTGCAGTTATTGTATGCAATTGTTGTGTCAGGGCAGTAAAGGGAAAATCGTGAAATTGATTTTTGTTGAGTATACTCTAAACTCACCCTGACCCTCAATCGGTCTGCAGACACTGAGCACTCACTTGCTCAGACTAACCAATTTCTCTCTCCAGTCAGGTGACGACAATTGAGTGAGTACTGCAAAGAAAACTCAATTCCTGTTACTTCCATTTGTGTCTTCTGGTTATTTGTTTTATTTTATTATCTGTTTTGTGGGAAAACTAAAATATCGGGTTCAGAGAAGGGAGAGGCTTTTGAGGTGAAGCCTCAGCTTCCTCTTGACCCTTTGGAGGCTGAACTGCGTGCTGAGGAGGAAAAACTCCGCAAACAGGCAGAAGCAGTTCAGGCTCTGAAGGAAGAGCTGAAGTGCAAGGAGGAAGCTGCCAAGAGGGAGACTAGGAGGCAGGAGTTGGCAGCAGATGTGGAGACCAGTTAGGGCCCGGTTCCGTAGTTAGGCTAGTTTAGGCCTAAGGACCAGGGGTCACGACGGTTCAGACCATAGGTCGGCCCAGAGGCCGACGAGGCCAATGGCCACAGGGGCCAGGCCGGTACCGGTCCAACACTAGGACCTACCGGCGGCGCAGTTGGCAGCCACATTTTAGGCGCCAAATTCAGATTTGAATCTGAACCGTTGATCGGATCAACGGTCCAGACCCGAAGGCACCAGGAGGACTGAGGCCGGCCCAGCACTCTATCAGCTGGGTACCAACTTCAGTAAGGTAGGTTAGTAGTGCGGAGGTTAGTCTTCAGGATTAGCGCAGCGCTTCAGCGTTAGCAGGACTAGCGCAGCGCTTCAGCGTTAGCAGGACTAGCGCAGCGCTTCAGCGTTAGCAGGAGCTGCGAGGAGAGAACAAGCGCAGCGGCAAGGAGGAACTAGTGCAGCAGCTGGAGCAGCGCCAGCCACCGGCCCAGCCTGCGGCCCAGTGCCAGCCTAGCACCGCCATAGCTACCGCATCAGCTATCCGGGAGGAAGGTCACACCTTTCCTCCCTCCTTTTCCTCCTCCGGTCTCTCTCTCTCTCTCCCTCTCTCTCCCTCTCTCTCCTCCTACCCTCTGAATCTAAGTCTACTCTACTGGACCACTATGAGTACGAAAGATGGTGACGAGTTCTGATGACAGTTGAGATGGTAACATTGAGACATTAGTTGAGGACTACTTCAGGGATCTGACTTCATCTACTTTTGGAGATGTATCTTGATATTGGGAGATCGACATCTGGGACACCGTGAGACTCTATTTTCACGACATTTCGGATTTGCGTTACTTATGACTTTGGAGATACTATTTCTGGATTCATTGTGTTGACGTCAACTTCCCTCTCCTCCTCCTTCGTCTCTCCTCTCCCTCCATTCGTTCGTGTATGATCTCAAACCCTGGCCTTTTCTTCTGTGTCCAAGGCCAGGGCTTTCACGCCACCGATGTATGTTTGTGAGTGTTTCGTTGCAGTCTGAGTCAGGTCTGAGTCAATCCATGTATCTCAAGTCTTCCACTGTATTTGTATTAACTTTGTATTATCTAGTCGGTTCTGGGAATCTGCGCCATGCTTATGACTGTGTTTCATGAGTATGCAACAGCAAAGTCAACATGTAAGAGAATCTTTGATTTTTCACTTGTTCCTTACTCGTTCCTGACTAAGATCCTGAGAGCAGTATCCCAATCCAAAGCTGAATTAAAGCAAAGAATTCCAAATGAATCATGAATCTTCTATTCGGAGTCAAAATAATTGAAAACGGATTGATATGAGTCGCTCAAGAAGATGGCATGCAATAATACAACTTGCCCCAGACTCTGCATACAAATGGGATCTTGCCTGCGTCACTGTTCCGCGGCGTGTGGTATTGATGACAATGATGAGGGAGGTTCCAGGAAAAATTATGAAATGAAATCGCCGCGACCACTCTAGTGAAGCCAAAGAACTCGATAGAAATTTGAAAGTAATG